ACACGAGTGTATAGTAGAATTTGTTGCTAAAATACTATTGAAAGTGAAGCGGCCTGTTTCTTTGAGATTGCTCGAGCACGAACACAATTGTTTTAATAAAAACACATGGATGTGGAATGTGTGCGTAATGCGTGGTGTGTTCAACACACAAAAATAACGAGAGAAAAAAAATGTTTTAATAATATTCAAGTTTTGAAATTGAAGCCACTGTGAATATTTTGAATTAGTTTGAGGCGGCGGCAACGGCACTGCAATCATTCATACACATTTTTTTCTGGCACCGAAAATAGGTGAGCAAACCAGGTCAAAGTGTGTGGAATAAAAATGCCATTGTTTTCAGTCCGAAGATCACTTCCAAAAGTCGAACTTATTCCAACGTTATTTTTTGAAAAGTGAAAGAAAAACAATGGAAATGTTCCCCATCGGGACACGTTAAATTTGATGAAAGATAATGAGTTAATGCTATTCAACACGACATGCCCTGTGCCTTCGCTATGACATTCGATTAAACAAAAAACGGAACAACGGAACGTTTTCAACATCTGGAGAAATGCGACTGTATGGAAATGGAACCGTACCACATAAGCCACAGTATCTGCAGTCGCTTTTTTTTCTTTCAAATTTTCAATTTCCAGTTTAAAGATAATTACTATCACCGAAACGAAAACTATTCAATATTATCAATAGATAATTTTGGCTCAAGAGCTGGTTTTTTGGGGTGTAAATGCTATTTAGACATATGTTTTGTATTTAATGTATTATTTTTCTCGTATATCGTCCAGCCGCTGTACAATCGCTCTTTGAAAATGTATTGTGCTTCTGGTGGTTTTCTTTTAATGATTTATTCATTTAAACGATAATTTATACCCTGGAAACAATTTCACATAGCGCGATCGTTTCGTATAACCCCTCAGACGACGAACGAATCGTGTTGCAAACAAAAACACGAAGTGTGTAAATTGATATAGAGTATTATTTTTAAAGCGACTCAAAAAAAAAAAAATTATATCTATAGTATGTACGGTAAATAAAGAAAAAAAATGACAATTGGTTTCCTTTGTTCGGCCAATGAAATCGAATTTACGTATCGAAATTATAATTTCAAAACATGAAATCTCTCCATGAAAGAAAAAGAAAAAGAAATCTCACACAATGAATCCGTTTTATGCACACAAACACAGACACATACACAAACGAAGCGTATAAAGACGTATTCGAAAGTGCATTGTATGAGGTGAAAAACACATATTGTTATCCTCGTGAGTTGATTCAACAATAATAAATATATAGACAATGTTCCCGGTTCGGTATAATATGGGTCCCGGTGTTGTTACATGTGAATACGGTTGCATTTTGTATGCGTGCTGCTGCTGCTGCATAAGAGTGAGGAAATGCACTCACAATGTGCAAGAAGAAGAAGGAACAACAACAATAATAACAACCATTTATACAACAACAGTGTGCCGAGCGGTTAGTGACCCTTAGCAGACATTTTTTTTTTTCTGTTGTACTTATTCTCTCTCTCTCTGTGTGTGTGTGTGTTCTTCATCGTTTCTGTCATCAAAACATTCTGCGTGCATGTGGAATATCTGTCATGTGTGTATGTGTGTGCGTTCGATGCGTTCACTACACTTTGTTGATAATTTCATTTTATGCGTCTCTCCCTGTCTCCCGATTGAAAATCGGGTTCATCGCAGTACTACAACATTTGCTGCTACTCCTGAGCCAGACACATGCAGAAATCCATTGCAAAACAGACATAAAATTAAAGTTCAACAGAAACTTTGTCTCTGTATGTCTGCAATTTATTATACTGCTTGTAGTGTACGAGCCAAGCAGCGCACAAAATGCATAATTAATAACAGAGCAAAATGAAGAGAAAAAAAACAAACCTTAAGTATCCTATCCACAACTGTTCTTTTCAAGCCTTCGAACTCTACATCGTTAAAATCGTAAAGAGTCTTTGTCGTCCCATGGCCGTCATCGATTGGCCACTTGCAATTGGTCGGAAATGCATTCTATACGGACGGTTAAGGAAAACGACAACACAAAATCGCTTCTCATGTATAAATAAATCGAAGCCTTCGACAGTGCTATTGCTAGAATGTCCCTTATATTTTATATGAAACGATACCTGCTGCCGCCATACAGGCATATTAATTTCAATCCGATTCTTGGCTCACAAAAATCGCTTGTTTTGAATATTTCTCTCAATGTGTGTTTTTTTTTTTTTGTTTTTTCGTTTCTTCTTCTGCGGTTTCAATGCGTTTTTTTGTGAGAAATATTTGTTTTCTGTAGATGTCGCCCTTACAACACCATTCAAAAGCAAACGAAGCTACACACTGTGAAGTTTCCGACATTTTCGAAATAAATGCGATAAAAATATAAAATTACCGAATATTTTCGATCGAATTTCATAAGATCTACACCAAAACGATTGTTTCCGCATTTTTTCAAACAGCTGTTTGCTGTTTTCAGATCAGAATAAAAAACAAAATTGAGCGATTGAACCGATTTTCCCAATTCGAAGCAAATCGGTACAGTTCGATCGTTTTGTTTGGAAAACAGTGGGTTGGACAGTTAATAAATGCTTTGTAATACAAAAGAAGCAATAAAAACAAGGCCCACAAACCAATGATTTTATTGCACAGTCAAATATATTGTGAATTCAGTTGGTGTGTGGCACCCATTGAGCAAAATACGAATGACAATGCAAAAAAATAGCAAAACACAGAGGAAAAGAGAAAAAAAAACATGAAAACTAAACGGGCGAACGCAGCAAAAGCCACACACACTTTATATGTCATGTTTGAAAATATAAGTATTAAAACCACTAAACGCCACAAATCCAGATACAGCGACACGATATCATCGAAGCCAAACAAAAAACGAAGATCAGATTTGGTATGTGTGATTCAACCGCAACGAGAGAGAGAGAGAGAGAAAAAACGAAGAAAAAACAACAACAAAATCTAAAGAACACAAAAATATGCGTTCATTTTTTTAATTTCTTATCTGCATAAAATATCGCATAAGACCGATTCGAAACCAAAGATAGGCGCATAATTATTTATGTTGTTTATTTTGGGATGCTTCTCGAGTGAGAACGCAACATAGTGAACAGCATATATACACACAATCACATACGCTGTGTTTAAGGATAGAATCAAGCAAAACGCTAAAAACCATATATATTCGGAACGATGACGACGACAGCAACAACAATAGCAGCAGCAGCACAGTAATAGCAACATCAACGAGGAAAGCGATATTAGTATTTCACAAGGCAACGTTCTTCAATGTGCTGCTTCCCATCAAGTCACATTGAATTCGAACAAACACGCGCTCCGCTGCTTCAATCGTACAATACACCAAATTGTGTAAAGTGTGTGTTTTGTTGTTGATCTGCTGTCGTGTGTACGTGTACATGTACGTGTGCATGCATGTGATGGTTTCATTGGGTGAGATGGTGTGCGTACGAATGTAGGCCTAGTTCATATACAACAGTTCACGCATACGATTCCACTGAACAGCTGATTGCGCAGTGCATGCGCTTGTGTGCGTGTGCGGAGAACGACATTCGTTACGAGGCTCGAGAGCCCTATTTCAGTTTGTTTTTGAGTTCGCGCAGGAAATGAGAGACGAATAGAGAGACGGGGAACAAAGAAAGCGAGAAAAAATAAACTCAAAAAGACATTCTATTTCGCATATTGAACATTTTTCGATTTTTTTTTTCATTAACCATTGTTACCTTAGAGAAGGAGAAGAAGAGAGGAAAAACAACGAACTGAAAAGCCATTTGTTCGAAATCCATGTGCTTGATTATCGTTTCAATAACTCGTGAATTTTGTCGTAAATTTTCTTAATTTTTTCAATCGTTCTATGCAATATACAATATCGCGTTTCAATTTAGTGCTGAACTTGAAACAATATCCATAAAAAAAATAAGTTGCAGTAATCGTGTTTGTTTTGTGATCGGAAACAGTTTTTTTTCTCTCGCCACACGTCAAAGTTTCGTTTTTGCGCAACAATAAATTCCCTGAAAAATTGTTCAAGTTCAAAACCACTGACGAATCCAATGTAAGTTAATTTCACAGGAATTTTTCTTTGTTTAGTCGCCAGTGGCCAGTGGCCAGTGGCCAGTGGCCAGTGGCCAGTGGCGACTCGCCACCATTTTTGTTCTCGTCATATCGCCTTACACTATTAATTCAATGAAATTCATTCGAAGAAGAAAAAAAACTCGTTGAAGTTACATAAATGATATTGAGCCAAAATATAAATAAATAATACATAGACATTTCAAGCGTTTCATGGTATTGAATGTCTTGATACGGCTGCCATTACTGTTGGGCACACAGCAAAGTTCTCAGAATCACGATCTAACGCATCTGAAAGATCCATGAACCAAATCGAAGAGCAAGAAAAAAAACAAGAGAAAAAAACGAACAGATTTACTACGCTTTCCAAATCGAATTTTGAATGATGACTGCGAACCGTCAAGCGAGTACTCGAACCATAAAATGTGCCACAGTGCTGCCTGGCTTACAAGTGGAAAAATCATGTGGAAAAGAGAAACACTGAATCTGTTTACATGTTGAATGGATAAAGACCCATCTATTTGACCGAACCAGAAGATTGGTAATATTTTCCCTTTTGCGCCACACAGAGAGACAGAGAATATTCGATGGCTGTTGCACATTGGTTGTTTACGTTTGGATGTGTGCGCTTGAGTGTATGTATGAAATGAGAGAGAGAGAGAGAGAGAGAGAGACTCGTTTTTGTTGTGTGCCGAGCGAATGAGCGAAATAGTGTGTATGTGTGTGCGAGAGAGAGATAGAGGGAGAAGGAGAGATAGGAGCAATGTCTATTATATGGGCTGGCAATCGAGCAACTGACAAAGATGGCAGATAGATTTCTCGTTTACGCGAAATAAACATCGGATCGAAAACCAGAACGAGTCGTGGAAAATTATCGTATGTGTATATGGTGTAGAGCAAACACAAGTTGGTTTGATTCGACGTTGTTCGCGCAACGAACCATTCGAAGCCAGCTAAAACAGCAGTAGCCATTGTGAACGGCACATCAATAGTGCAGTGAGCAGCGAAGAGTTTTCTATAACCGCAGTGTGTGTGTGCCCTTTTTTTCTCGCTCTCTGTCTCTTTCACGTTTCTCCGAAACACAAAGACGAAATTGGAGACAAATGAAAATATTGACGAGAAGAAGAAGAAAAAAAAAACAAACTGTGCAATATTGTTATTTCGTGTTAAAAATCCAGACATTTGCCTAATGAGAAAACGATACATTGTTTTATTGACATTAAGTGTTGCTGCTAATATTGACTGCTAATCGATCTGCGTATAAAATACAGAGAGAAAAAAGTGGTTATTCTCTTGATTCAATACTTGGTTGCTGCGACCCGTTTATACATGAAAATTGATTGAAATTTGAACGGAATGTGAGAAAAGTGACTGGAAAAAAGCGAGAATTTTTCCAAGAAAAAAAAAAACAAAAAAAAAAATAGATAAAATTTTATAATTCTTTTTTATTCTGTTGACTGTCGCTGTTGCTTCTGCTGTTCTTTCTTTTCCATATTTTTGTTCGCGATTTCTTCGCGTTCCATCACCGCTGACTGTCTTTCTGTTTCGTTTGTTTCTTCAATTGGAAACATATAGAGTGTGTGGAATACATTTTTGCTGTTGCTGCTGCTGCTGCTGCTGCCGCTTGTTTTTCCCATTTTCGAACTCTCGTCGACAACAAGCAAGCAATCAGCCAACCAACCAACGAACCAACCAAGCACTGTAAATGTATGCGCATTGTACGACGCGTACATGTGTGCCCATGCTCTGTGTATTTATTTCAATCCATGGACCCCATGGAATATAATATATAACTTGAATTTAGACAACATACAGCTCACCGATAAAAAAAAGCACACAATTTATGTAGAAAATATAATATGAGAACCATTGGCTGGTTCATCGTGTTCAGTGTGTGTTTCTTGCTCAAGCGATTTTGAAGTGGAATTCGCGCAAGTGTTCATAAACATCAAACATTCGTCGTCTCTTCACCTCAGTCAGCTGCCATTTTAATAAACAAATACCATAAAAAAAAACTTACCAGAACACAAAGATTTGCCTGATGATTATGCAAATAGAAAAAAAACACAAAGTCGAGTCTGTTCACGTAGCTGAATTAAAGTAAATTCAAGTTATAAATTAATACGTAATATGTGTGCGCATTTGTGTGATTGCATTTCATGCGAAAGAGCAGCGACTATAACCGAGTTCCATAAATAAAAAGGAAAAATAAAATTAATAAAGCAAAAAAGCGAAAAAAAAATACGACCACTGATAATAAAAAAATCAGCGCAGCAAAGCAAACACGTAGAAACTCAATTAGAAACGTAGTGCGAAGATTGTGTTGTTTTTTTTCGCTATAGAGACAAGTAAAATCATCATCTTGACGTAAGCACAGCGTAAACGACTCGAACATTAATTGTGTAAATTTCCAGTGGAAGCATGTGAATGTTGTTAGACTGTTTTGATTTGTTTTTTGTTTGCTGCATTAAATCAAGTGGATATTGAATGTGGGGGGGGAAAATAGAATTTGAAACACAAGTGTAGAGACTAGAAAACAGGAAAGATAAACGTCATAAACATACAAAAATCGCATCGAAGGAAAACCAAAAGTCGAAAAAAATGTGCGTAACTATAGTTGATAGCTATTATATTTGTATTTGAACATTAGGGCGACCATTCCACTAAATTAAGTAATTTTTTTTAGTTAAAATGAACTCTCAATCTGGTTATTCAAAAATCTTATCTTTGTTTTCGATTTGATGGTCTGAGTTGTATTTTTTTTCTCTTTGTTTTTTTTCGCTAATAAATTCGCTTCTTTGTTGTTGTTTTTTTTCGGCTGCTACTCTTTTCATCATTCGTCATTATAACGGTTTTGGATTGTTCTTTTCGGTTTGATTCTGTTCGGCCACTTTACGAATTGGTTTAATTCACGAGTCGTTTAAGCTATATGAGTCGCGTTCATTGTTCTATCAATCTATAAATATCGTTGTTTTTAACATCGGATCGGAGCAAGTAGTCAACCTTTGCAATTAGAAAATGCTCTATGTGTCCCGCATGGAACAGTAGAAATATCGAAATAATTGGATTCGAATAAAAATAGCAGCTTCTATTATAGACTTTTTTCAAGCAGAAGAACCGTAGCCAATTGGCAATACTAGCTCGCACAATGGCTAAATCTTCGTTATGCTTTCTAAAACTTATTTTTCTCTTCATTTCGACTTTTTTTTTCTCTCATTCTCGGTAAAATCACATCGCAATTGATGAACACTTTAGTTTCTACACTATACAACTTTCGATATATATATATAATTCGGTAATACCTTTTCAAATTGCCTCCCGATTCCATAGCGACAATAGAACGAAACGAGGCGAAGATGAAGTGGAGGGAGCAAAATAAAACAGAAAAAACATAATAACAATAAAAGTATAATAAAAAAAGAAGCACCGAAAATACATTATTTAAATGTTAGATCGTGCACTGATGTAACAAGATAATTTAACGTTTCCGCCACAATGAACATTCTCGATTCTCATTTTATTTTCGTGCGCTTACATTCGAACAAAGCAAGAGAGATGTGCGTTTGAAACCTACTAGGCAACTCACTGCCGTACCTTTCTTCACAGCGATACCAAAATGTACCGACACATTTCATCGATGAAAAAAAGTTTATCTTTTACCAAATCGATGAAGAAGAAGTTACCAATTGGAATTGTTTTGGAAATTAAATAATTTCCGAACAATTTCATTGCCAAAAAAATTGCATTCACAACGTTTTGTTGTTGTGGTGTTTGCGTTCTTCTCCGGGCGAAAAGAGTTCATTGTTTTGATACTTCGAAGGTGAATGCTATCCGTTCATTCTCACACTTGGAATCAGTGCTGAAAGAGAGGCAAGCGAACGAGCGCATAGCCGAAAAAAAGAGTATATGTGCAATCAGACGGTGTGTGTGTGTGTGTGTCGATGACCCGTTGAAAAACGCGTTTTTCATTTTCTCCTCACGTTTAAAATAAATTTTATGTGCTTGCGTCTGTAGTGTGGCGTGTCCTAAGCAGCAAAGCAATGTCGTCGTTTGCTTTGTTCGACAGTACTAGTATATGTTACTTCTGCGTGTTTTTTTTCCACTCTTCGTGTTGCGTTTTTTTTCTTCATTTGGTTACAAAATTAGCGCAAGCGAACGAGATAGATACATGTGTGTATGGTGTTGTTGTTGAGATAAAATACATAATCAGCCAGACAGTGCTGAAGAAAATTTCGTCTACACACTCTTGAACAAAGGATAAATGCTAGACACTTATCACATTGGCAAGCGAGCAAGCAATATTTTACATATCAAAGTGCTAATTCACTTATCGTCAATGGCTCTTGTTCGACCCAAAACCAAATTTGCTCACAATAACATCGTTCAACCGGCTCAGCATATATCGATTTGTATGTTTGAATTCACAAAATTTGGTTTTTTTGTCATCTCCAACTGCAAAAGTTATATCGAAATGTTTCAAATGCAAACAAGGGAATATTCCGATTATTTTCCTCGTGTTCGAATTCACATTTTGCTCACCGTAATCATTTGAACGAAGAAGTAGACAAAAAAATTGTCAAACACGTTGCAGACATAAAAGTCACATTTGAACGAATGAAATTCAAATTAAGTCAGAGATGAAAGCTCATAAATATCCTTTAGATGCAAATTTAAATCTTTCTTTTTCTTTCTTTCTTCTTTAATGTTTTGTGTACGGCTATAGGCTTGGAACGAGAATAAATTATTGGCTGGTAAATCGTACGAAAGTGAATGTATTTGAATCGATTCCCGACGCATTACGATTGCGTGGGGTATGTTTGTTGATAAACAGTGGATGTCGAAGTGTCGTCTATGGCCGAATCCGTTAACCATTTGCTCTCTGCAGTGACGGAGGGGCATTTAAGTAACAGCACCGCATCACAAAACACACAAACCTTTGATCAAGCGACTAGTAAATCGGCCGGAGGAGATAATCGAAGCAAAAAATCGACACGATCGGCAACATTATCATCGGAATCAGTGTCAAGAGGTAAGTGTAACAAGCAAATTTTATGCATCGATTTCGGGTCGAAGGACATCAACGACATAATTTATTTGCTTTAATTTCTGCAGAAAATTCAGAATCGACGAATTCAAATCGCCGTGGAAGGAAAAAACACGCCGCCGAGGCATTGGAAAATACTGAAAGCAGTAGCAGTACAAAGCGGAAAGTAAGACGATACGACGAATCAAGCGATCTATCTACGGAGATTGTGACAAGTGCAAAAACGGCGTCGATAAATAAATTGAAGCGCCAGAAATCGTCTAGATCGAGCAATCAAGCAGAACCAATAGAGATAAGCAGTGACGAGGAAGTTCCTTTGGAAGGAAAGGTGAAAAATTGCATCGCAAGTCGCACACGATCGAAAGCTCATCACAGCTCACCGTCACCGAGTAAAAAACTGAAATTGGCATCACGCACCAGCTCCGTTTCACCCGGTGTGGATAATAATACTGCAACGCTGGGTTCAAATATACGAAAAACATCGACTCGTCACTACAACACCGAAAGTGCCAGTACAAGCGCTTCGCGACGAACACCGACCAGTCATTTAGCGGCCACGCACGAAACAAACTCAGTTAATAATAACGTAAGTCTCTCGCTATTGCGTCACAAATCAAATTGGATTGATATGCTCATTTGAGGTATTGCCATTTCACACACAGGTTACACATTCGGCAAATCCGGCTAGTCTACCAAGACGTAGTTCGAGAAGTAAGGTTCAGCAATCGACTGTAACGACGGGTTCCTGCGTTAGTTCAGCGGCAAGTACACAAGCTTGCACATCGTATCAAATACGCGGTCCAGCTTCATCGTCGGCAAACGAGGCGGCTGGTGCTAGTGGTTCATCGTTAGCCATTGCAGCGCACGGTGGTAGCTCAAGCAATAATAGCACCAGACGACGCAGAAAATCGGCCACATTCATAACAAACGTTGGCAAATTACATGATCAAACCAACAATCAGGTTTTAGTTGAAGCTTCGACATCGGGTATGGCAAATGATGGATCTCGTGATGCAAACGCTCAAAATCAATCCCAAAATCATTACGGTAAAGCCAGCAAAAAATTCTCATTAAAACTACACAGAATGACATTCACTTCAGCTGACTCAAACTCTTCTTCTTCCACACAAACCAACGAATCAACGGCAGACATGTCAAATATACACAGTTTAAGACGTAGTCCACGCGGTAGTGTTAAAACAAGCAATTTAAGCACATCGGCGACCGTTCATACGTCGCCATTAGCCGTTAATGCGTCATCCACCGCAATATCAATCGCAACTACAAAGTAAGTGCAAACATGTTTTATTTCCAAAGTGTACTTTGCCGTCTTTCTCTCTCTCTCTCTCTCTCTGTTTTCCTCTCTCTATCGCGCTCTAATTTTATACAAAACATGCAATCGATATGACCCTCCACACTGGAATTATTGTGACGTATTTCGTCAATTCGAACAATTTTCCGTTTAGTAAATTCGCATCAAATTATTGTGCTGTGCTGGTAATTTGGAATTACCCATGCAAAAGCACCCAAACGTGTTGAATGTCAAGCATATCATCGAAATTGATTGGGTTTAATTGGAACTTCTTTTCGACCTTTCACTTTTAGCAACACCAAATCATCTTCCTCGTCAAATAATTTAAGCAACACAACCGCGACAACACCATGGGATGCAGGACATCATCATTATCATAGTTTGGCCAGTTCATCTGGCTCAAGCAGCAATAAACCATCATCGACTTCATTGCGCGGAACAAGCTTCTTTTCAGCACTTGATTCAGCGCTCGCAATGACACAAAGCCAACCATCGACATCGCAAACGGCCGGCGTTTCGGTTTCACTTTCGAACAGCAACGGTTCGACATCACAACAGGTAAAAATCACAACAACAACAATGAACACAATCATTGCTCTTTGAACAAATGGTTAATTTTCCCACGATACACTTTAATAGACGTCAGCACTTTCGGCAAGTACCGCAGTCGCATTCAGTGGAGACTCAGAGAGTTTGACGAATGTTAATTTGGCTCATAGCCTTGCTGGTGCCAGCAGCTCACTTCCGGTCAGTTTCGGTAGCTCAGCTCCATCGGCAATGGATCCGGAGGCAGACGATCCAGATGTTGGACGTTTGCAAGCATTGCTTGAGGCTCGTGGCATTCCACCACATGTCTTTGGTTCGTTGGGTAAGTCAAAATTGAAACAACAAACGATAACACAACCCGTGCTAATGCCATTTCTTCATAATTACAGCGCCTCGTATGCATCATCTATTGCACAGAACAATCGGTTCGAATAGCACGTCAAAAGCGCAACAATTGTTACAAGGCTTGCAATCAAACGACGAGAGTCAACAGTTGCAGGCCGCTATTGAAATGTGTCAAATGCTGGTGATGGGCAACGAAGATACTCTGGCTGGTTTTCCAGTGAAATTGGTCGTTCCGGCTCTCATCAACTTACTTCGTATGGAGCACAATTTCGATATAATGAATCATGCATGTCGTGCGCTCGCCTACATGCTCGAAGCATTGCCCAGATCGTCAGCCACCGTTGTCGATGCCATTCCCGTATTTCTCGAAAAGCTACAAGTCATTCAGTGTATGGATGTGGCTGAACAAAGTTTGACCGCTTTGGAAACGCTATCGCGTCGTCATAGCAAAGCAATTTTGCAAGCGAACGGTGTATCGGCTTGCCTCACTTATTTGGACTTCTTCTCGATGAACGCTCAACGATCGGCATTGGCCATCACATCCCACTGCTGCTTGAATCTACAACCGGATGAATTCCACTTTGTGAGCGATTCATTGCCGCTGATGTCGCGTTTGTTAACACAACAGGATAAAAAATGTGTTGAGTATGTTTGCACGGCATTTTATCGTTTGGTCGAAAGTTTCCAACACGATCCGAGCAAATTACAAGAGATTGCCAAGAAAGATCTACTCAAAAACTGTCAGCAGTTGCTGGTTGTAACGCCATCAATTTTGAACTCAGGCACGTTCACCAATGTGATTCGAATGCTGAGCATAATGTGCTCTAATTGCCCTGATTTGGCCATAACCCTACTGAAAATCGACATCGATGCAACGCTGTTGTACTTGTTGACCGGATCATCAGATACTTTGGCAACGCGTCAAGCCAATGGCGGAAGTGTTGATATTGAATTGGTTGAACGCAACCCACAAGAATTGTACGAAATCACTTGTTTGATCGGCGAACTGATGCCACGCTTGCCAAATGACGGCATATTCAGTGTGGATGCTCTGTTTGAAAAACCAGCAAGCGCACAACAGGATCAAGTCAGTTGGCAGTGGCGCGGTGACCGTGGTGCATGGCATTCGTATTCGGTTATGGATTCACGAGCCATCGAAGCAGCCCATCATAATTCAGACGATGAAATCAGCTTATCGACTATGGGTCGAACATACACGATTGACTTTAATTCGATGCAACAGATTAATGAAGATACTGGCACCACCCGGCCAGTTCAACGGAAATTGAATCCCGCAGCAAACACAAACACTTCACCAAATCTGGCGATGGCTACTGATTCGAAAAACTCGAGCACCGATAGCGCAGCTGGATTTGGCGATTGTCTCCACGGAACCGGAACCGTAAATTTGGCATTGCGCCCACCGAATCCGTATAGGGACGCACGGTTGGCCTGCTTGCGTGAAGAGCGTGGTTTGGCAGCTGAATTCATCAAAAATATGTTCTCCGTGCTGTACGAGGTGTACAGCTCATCGGCTGGACCATCAGTTCGTTTCAAGTGCTTGCGTGCACTATTGCGCATGGTCTACTTTGCCAGTGCTGATTTACTACGTGAAGTTTTAACAAGCCAAATGCTTTCGTCACACATTGCTGGTATGATGGCATCAAATGATCTGCGCATTGTTGTTGGTGCCGTTCAAATGGCCGAAATTCTTATGCAAAAAATGCCGGAGATTTTTAACGTTCATTTCCGTCGTGATGGTGTTATGCATCAAATAAGCCTCTTGGCCGATCCCAAATTGCCAATTTGCGAAAAATCGAAAAATACACCACACAAAGAATCGACCAACAGCTCGCCATCCGTTACCGTGTACGAGTTTGATTCAAGCAAATCAACACCGACTAGTGTTTTGAGCTCGTGTTTCTCACGCAACAGCAGCACCACAACAACACCGTTGAGCCATCATCAGACGGCCCCAATGTTAGTGTTTCCTCATATTTAAGCTTTTTTGCTGCAACATTTACTTACTGTTTATGTTATAATGTCATATAGCAATATATTGAGCATCACTAATGAACAACAATGATTAATATTTTCAGGCAACGCCGACACCCTGGCCCATCAACTTCATCGGCTAGTTTCTCGCTGCAAACAAGCACAACCAACAGCCCAGCACCATTGAATCTGAATCATCAGCCATTGCCGACGGCATCCTTAGTTACCTTCCATCCTGGTAAGATCATTTTGCTTTATTTCCGCTCACATCATTCCAAAATTCATACAAATTTCATGCGGCTTTTTTGCACTCAATTCAACTTGTGTATTTCGTTTCAAGTTACTAATCGAGGTCGAATCAAATTGTCTTCTTTTCTCTATTTTTGTACATGTTTCCCCCCTTCTGTTTAACGTCTGTTACGAATATCTACGTATCCCTTTTTTTATACAAAAACAAAATCTCGAATTCTTAACAAATCTTCCGTCGAATTCATCCGAACTAATGAAAAACAAAAATAAAAAAAAAATTGCCCAAAACAAATCAAGTAGTAGAGTCAACTTCTAAAGATTATTCGCTACCGTCTCACCATAATAACTACCACCTGCATCATCATCATCAACAACAACAACAACAACAACAACAATACCAACGTCTTACAATCCACCATAATTCTCATGCACATTACATGCTCACAGGTACTTTCGATGAAGTTTTACACACAACAAAAACAAAAACCGAATAGCACTTTATAGTTCGCCTATCCCCACCTGATTTTTGTACATTTTCTTTTCATTTGGCACTTGATTCGAAATTTTATCCCCAAAAATTATCGGCACACCAATTTGTAAATACGTTTCATTTCGGTTTTTCAAATTATGTTTTATTTATTTGAATGCACTTTGGATCTGTTTAAATAAGGTCAAATGTTGATCAAATTTCAAAAATTTATCCCCAATCCAATCTCTTTCTTTTGATAAAGCACCACAATTTTTGTTCTGACAAAATTGATACCTTTTTAGCTTCGTATTGATAGTTTGATATTGAAATTCATTTTCCCTGTTTCATTTGCTTGAATGCTATTAAAATAAAATTTCCTTACAGAGATGATGAGTGTTGGAGGCGAAGTTGTGAGTGGCGGTGCGTCTGGAAGCAGTGTTACCACAAACATTGCACTTCCAATTGATCAGCAGCAGCAACAACAGCAGCAACCGCAGCAGCAGCAATCGCAAGCAAGCCATTCAAGTCATTCGACTCAATCGCATGCCAATGCCATTCAATCGAAAATGTCGGATATTCTGAAGCGAAAAGCACCACCAAAGCGCAAATCGCAAACATCATCACGATCAAAGACCCGAAACCAAGATCACCACACCGAACAACCGTCAGTCATGCAAGAGCTAATGAACAAAGCTTCGGCTTTGGGTTCATCTGGCCGAAGTACACCGTCGACATCGTCGAGTCCAATGAATATTGGTGCCAGCGGAAGTGCTGGTTCGTCTGGTTCATCGTCGTCTCGTTCACGTTTCGGTTCAAGCTCGAAGACTTCATCGTTTTTGGCTTCGTTGAATCCAGCTCGCTGGGGCCGAACAACCTCAATGAATTCACATTCAACTTCAAAAGACAGCGGTCATTCGAGCAGCAGCGGTGCTGGTACGAGCAGCTCAAGCACATTGATCAACGAACACTCGTCAAGCTCTAGCTTAATAGCGGCTGGTAATCGAGAGAAGGCACGCCAATGGATTCGCGAACATGCCATCGAATTCAACAAGAGATACGACGGCGAAAATGATTTGCCTAGTGAACCAACGGTTTTAGTTCGCTTGTCTACTGTCATTCAGAAATTGAATGGAAACTTGGACAGTTGTGTGGACGCACTAAATGATCTCAAGCACATCCTACTCATAAGTGATATATCACCGTTCGAATTCAATCATTCGGGTTTGATTCGATCGATGCTAAAATATATGACATCCGAACAAGAGACCGTACACAGAGATGATAGACTACGCGCCTTCCTAAACGTATTCACCGGCTTGCCACTGAATACAACCAAGTAGGTTTTTATTCGGAACTTTTCGATCTGATTTTTTAGATTTTGCTAAACTTCTCGAATGCTAACGAACAATATTTAAAATTTTCAGTATCAGCGGGTCTATTCTGTCGAAGGCAACCATTGAAAATTCAGCATTTAGCTCATTTGTAGCCAAATTGAATGGTTGTGTCACGCAATTGGAACAGTTCCCAGTCAAGGTGCATGACTTCTACGGCGGTTCGAATACAAGTGCACTTAAATTTTTCAACACGCACCAACTCAAGTGCAATCTCCAACGTCATCCAGATTGCACAAATTTGCGCCAATGGAAAGGTGGCACAGTGAAAATTGATCCGTTGGCATTGGTTCAGGCCATTGAACGATATTTAGTTGTGCGTGGCTATGGCGGTATTCGTGTCGATTCCGAAGAAGACTCCGAAGAGGATATCGACGATAGTGTGGCTGCAGTCGTTATGTCACAAGCCACATTCAAGCATAAGCTACAGTTTATGATCGGTGAAAATGTATTGCCATACGATATGACCGTTTATCAGGCCATTCGACAGTTTTCGCCACTAGTTAACGATCAATCTGAAACCGATACCGAATCCGATATCATGCAAAGTAAGTTTCATATTCCACAGTTTTTATTTCAATTTGCATTTTATTTTCATTTTCGTTTGCGTATTAAATGCTAAATTGATTTATTCCAACAGGCAATGCAAGCATCTGGGTTCAGCAACACACTATTTACTATCGTCCGATTGAGGAAGAACCAAGTCAACACGCACACAATCAGCCCAGTGGTAGCAGTTCAAGTAATGCTGCCGGTGTTTCGATCAGTACACGAGCATCGTCCTCGTCATCGTCGACATCACGAAAGCACTCGGATAAATCGTCGTCAAAATCGTCACGTAAAAAGCCTGAATACTGGACCGATGGTATTCAACAGGTCGTGTCGCCGATCACAAATTTCTTATCGAATTCACTGCCCAAAGATATAGTCACCGTTCAGGATGCTTCTCTCGATGCTTTGTGCATGTTGCGTATTGTGTATGCACTGAATCGGCACTGGGAAACACTTTATATGGGCAATTACATACACGAGGATATCATTCCAGCATCGGAATTCATTCATTCGAAGGTAAGAGCCAAATGATTTTTTATTTCAATGTGCCATCCACCATTAATTAATTAAAATGCTTTTTATTTGAATAAAATACAGATTACGGCCAAAGCCAATCGTCAACTTCAAGACCCACTCGTGATAATGACTGGAAATCTGCCACAATGGCTGCAGCAAATCGCCACCGTTTGCCCATTCTTGTTCCCATTCGAAACACGCCATTTGCTATTCTATGCCATAACATTCGATCGTGATCGTGCATTGCAACGTCTGCTTGAAACCACGCCTGATCTCAATTCAACGGATACCACCGAAAAAGTCACGCCACGGCTAGATAAACGTAAACGTACCATATCACGTGAAGACATTCTCAAACAGGCCGAACACATTATTCAGGTAAATACATACATATTTTCAACTTATACTCCAACTGCTGTTGTGCCTCGTCGCTTTGTGGTAATCAAATATACTAACTTAATTTATCTTGATTTTGAAAACAAACAAAAATTCCAGGACTTTGGACATTCGAAAGCATTGCTTGAAATTCAATATGAGAATGAAGTTGGAACCGGTTTGGGACCGACGCTTGAATTCTATGCACTGGTTTCGGCTGAAATACAACGCTGTGATTTAGGTTTATGGTATGAAAATGATACGTATCAATCGCCATCCTCTTCGATCGACGATTGTGTCAAGAATGTGCTGAATGAAATGGAAGACGACCAACAAATGTCACAAACAGACGATCAAGGTAAAAAAAATGCTGCAAACAAATCGCATACGCACTCGCACTCGCTCCGTGTATTGATATATTAATATTCGACTTGATTATGTTTCTGATTTAGATGAGGTAAACAATGCACTGAATCCGATTTCAAACCATCAAACGTCAGCAACGGATGTTCGACAATACGTTCATGCTCCGTTCGGTCTCTTCCCAATGCCAATGAGTCATAGTGCCAAACAAATGCAAATCTCACGCATCAAATCGAAATTCAAGTTCTTGGGCAAATTTATGGCTAAAGCCATCATGGACAGTCGAATGGTATGAACTTTGGAATTTTCCTAATTATTGATTTTTCGAGAGGGCAAAAAAATAGACAACATTTACTCATATTATATTCGATTTACAGTTGGATCTACCGTTTTCGATTCCATTCTATCGTTGGTTGTTGTATGAGGACAGTTCACTTGGTTTGTCCGATTTGTCATCGGTTGCACCAGAAGTGCAAACCACGTTGAAGCGTTTGCAAAACATTGTACGCGAACGTGATGAAATCTTGAACAGTCCAGCTTCGGACCAAGAAAGCAAGAATGTCAAGGTAACATTGAAAGCTTAAATATGAATTGAACGTTTTTATAACTAATCGAATTATTTGTCTCATCATAGATCGACAGTTTACATTACGATGGTTGCCCGATTGCCGATTTGGGATTGAACTTCACACTACCAGGTCATGCAAACATTGAACTGCGTCGTGGTAGCCGTGACACAGCAGTCACCATCCACAATTTGCATCAGTATGTTGCTCTGGTAACGCAATGGTTCTTAAATGAAGGTGTACAAACACAGTTCGAAGCTCTGCGCGAAGGTAAAATCAATAAGAAACTTCAACTTTTTTTTTTTCTCTCGATCTGATTTATTGTACTCAACGCTAATTCCGACAACACTCGTTTCATTCACAGGATTTGATTCAGTGTTCCAATCGCAGCGATTGCGTCTCTTCTACCCAGAAGAAATTGAAAAGGTGCTATGCGGCTCAAGTCTTAACAACTATCATCGTTGGGATGTGAAGATGTTGCAAGAATGTTGCCGTACCGATCATGGATTCACATCCGAATCGAAGGCCATTCAATATTTGTATGAAATCCTAAGCACATACACTCGCGAAGAGCAACGTTTATTCTTGCAATTTGTCACCGGTTCACCGTGCTTACCAACAGGCGGTTTCAAGGCATACAATCCACCATTGACCATTGTACGCAAAACACTCGATTTGAACGAGAGCCCAGATGATTACCTACCATCGGTTATGACATGCGTAAACTACTTGAAACTACCCGAATACTCCAGCCGTGAGGCGATGCGTAGCAAATTGAGAACGGCATGTGTTGAGGGTAGCATGAGTTTCCACTTGTCTTAAAAGCCTCGAATCAACGACAATTCACCACTGCTGCAACCATATCAATGCTGAATGCAGACAAAGAAGAATGAAACCAACCAATCCAGATGCCAAAATACAAAGTTCTTTATATAAAGGTCAAAACGGAGAACGAACCAATAACCATTTATAATTCCAAACAAAATCAAATGTCTGTAAATTTGCCATTTTCTGTGTAGTTAAAATTAACGGAAATCGAATTAGCATTTCAATCGAATTCAAACAAACAAAAATTTAGCGAAACAATACGATAAACAAAAATGAAAATGGTCACAACAAAGTGATTTGGTTTTTTTTTTGTATTTTCTAGAGAAAAAACAAAGACAAATTATGGATTTGAATGTTTCGTTTAGCAATTAAGTGAAATAAATGAAATTGTTTGATGCTCTCACAATGCATTCATGAAATGGATAATCAAAGTCCAAGCGACACCATTTCCCCTTCAACCCACCCAATGTGTGGAATGTTCGATATTGTGCTAAACACACTTGGAATCCATCTCCTACACTTTTGCGAATTTAATTTAAAAACAAAAACTGAAATACTATGTAATAAAATGACACAGATCTTTTGGAAAATGAAAGAAAATAATCGAAATTTGCAGAAATTGATTCGACCGAAAACATGGCAATGCCCAAGAGGAGGTCAACTCTTTTCACTCTTTCAACAATAACAACAACAAAAACATTATTATGGGTTCCATTCTGGAATTAACATATGTGCAGTATGCCTCTTGTAATTTAGCAATAAAAACAAAGAATCGCCAAGCCAAAACAATATCAACACATCGGAGAATATCCACACTTGACAGAAAGTGAGAAAAATAACATGTACTGCGACAGATAGTCTTTTCTCTATATTATATAGATCCAAGATCTAATCACGTACTTTTTCCTTGTTGTTTTCTTTATTTTTTTTTCCTGTTCGATACGTGTGTGATGAACACATTTATTTTGACTTGAACATGAAAAATCAGATGCGATAAACTAAATAATACGATTAAAAAAAATAAACAATGAACAAACAAACAAAAAATAAAACATATTTATCATTTCTAGGACATGTAATTATTAGAGCGATAGCATTAACACCATCGATATATGATTACTGAAATGAATTCATTATAAGAATGCATTTTTGGGTATAGCATTGTAATTTTAAGGAACAAAATTTTTGAAAGGTAGCAATAAAAATATCAATCAAATAATGAAAAAAAAATTCAACAAAAGCAGTGTTTTCTTTCATCATACAACATTGGGTAATTGCGTTTCATATTGCCATCTGCCATTATGATATGTTTGTCTCTTTCGTTTTGGTGCTCATGTCATACGTTTGCCACAAACTTTTTGATTCGAAATGGCGGTGTCTGATTTTCGCTCACACTTTATGCATACATTCATTTGGTGTAGTGTACGGTTCAACCCATACACTCAAGATGGGCTCGTTTACGGTGAAAATGAACACCAAATACAAAAACAAAAAAGTACAATTTCAGTCGACACGTAGTCAAAATAGCTCCTCATTATTGGATATACCATTTTTATATTATGGACATGTCTTCCATTAACATTTCTTCTAGTATTCTGATTTTTCTTATTTTACATTTTTATCTACTTAAATCGATATAGACAATTGACAGTTCTGCGATTATATACTATTGGCTACTATAAGCGCTTTAGCTTCATTTATAAAGAAATGATCACAAAATTTTCAGAAATAATGAGTCTTGAGGACAGCATTCAAACTGTCGGAGTTTTAACCAATACGACTTCGGAAAATAGTTCAATATAACTACCGTCATATGAATCGTGTTCGGCTTGAATATGCTTCTGGAGCCTTTCTTTGGATACTTGCAAGTAATTGCAAGTATTGCAGATGCTGCCGATGAGATCACCATTGCATGAAACGGATTCGAAAATGTTTCGCACTGTGTCTTTGGAGCATTGGCCGTGGTTACTTTTGCGGACCACTGACTCATTGCAACCAGTGCAATGGTACATTTGTTCCCCTGTGTGCCACACCAGGTGCTTCTTCCAATCTTCATCTTTCATTATTTTCAATTCTTCACAGAAGAAGCAAAAACCATGAATTTGACCATCGATGCTGACCCAAAAATCTTGCCGGCTGCGAATCCGTGTGGCCATCTTTGGCGACAGCCGGGCGATGAACACTTCAGTTTCTGGATGTTTCCGTGCGTAATGAACAGCTAGATTTTTGTCGCTGCAACCACATAGTAGGCACATTGACTTGTACAAAAAATTGCTGTAGAACATGGTTTGGTCGTTGTTTTTCGGAATTCGCGACGCATCTACCACAAATTTTGGCTTGGTGGGCCCCTTTGGGAAGTCATTGGAAGCCCCTGGTTCATCACGGGAAGCATTTAGCTCATCTTCGTTGTATGATTTGAAATTCGGCCGTCGCGAAGAACGCAAGACACGTTCTGCAAATAAATGAAATTGTTTGGAATTAAATGTGAATCAAAAGTCGGCATTATCAGTGCCGTGTCAAAAACTGTCAAAATACTTGAAATCTGTTGGCTTTCCGGGTCACTTTTCTTTTGTTCATGTTTGATCTCGTTTTGTTCGATGCTTTGGTCATTTTTTGCGTCAGCACTGTTTTCGCTTTCATTATCGGCGACGTTGGCTTCTTGACTGTCTTCTTCTGAATCGGAGATTGTGATGGTTTCACCTGAAATCAACAAAATAACAAATTGAGATGCTAAACTATCAAATGAAATTCATTTCGTCTTACATTCCATTTTCACAGGTACATCGAGACATGAATTGCGATTTCCCGGTGAATCTGGAACTGTGGGACACGAAGTGGAAGCCATTGCCATCGCACATTGCACCTTTTTGTCAATGTTGTGATTTTTGTCGATTGTCGTGGTTTTTTCTGTGTCGGAATCAGAGTCAATTTCGATTCGTTCAATTTTTTCCATTTGAACGGTTTATATGACACTCAACAAAATTAGCGGTAAATTTGGAATCACTTTTTGTATCGAAAAATGTTGTTTTGAACTCAATGGATGATCGGTAGCTTTTGTGATTTACAGTGTTTGATTGACATCTCTCCAGCTGTCAAGTGCAACTAAATTTATAATAACTGTCTTGTTTGATGAATTGGTAAGGTTCACGGTGTATTGGCATAAACAAGTGTTATGGTGTCAGTTTAAAGCCAGTGGTCGAGCAAATTCTGATACATTGGGAGCACAACGTGCAAATGTTATTTTCGTGACGATTTTATTTTCTCAGTTAATTTCAACTTTGACAATGGCTGGTTATTTTTCACTCTTGGAATGCGTGTATGGCAAATGAGGAAAAGAGACAAAAATTTGTTTGAGTCAGCAAAATACCAATGGTTTGCTATGCTTCGCAGTACTCCGAAAAAGCATGTCTCAAATGTTTGTGTAACGCAACGGTTTATTGAGATAAGCCGTAAATATTATGCGTGCATATTTGAATGGTTCTGCACCTTATTGTAATATGAAATAAGGAAACGTATTCACTCTGAAGTTGAAACCATTTTTTTTCGTGCTCGATGCAATTCAAAGAAAATATTTGTTATATTTATAGACAAATGCGTTTTAATAATTTTTTTCGAATTTGTTAAAATAAAAATGCATAAGACAATGGCATTCTCACCAAAATCGACTTTAATACATTTTAATCATGATTTTTGTTGTTGTAAATAATAAGAAAAAAGGAAGCCTTATTTAAATTTGGCGCTGAAATTTTTCTCTGATCCATTTATCCAATAAACCTCTCTGAGGAATCAGAACAATTTTTAACAAAAAACAAAATAAAATCAAAACAAACAGATTGTAAAATTGGAAAAGATTCGCATAAAAAATCGAATACTCATCGAATGAAGAAATGTGAAAAAAAAAAATTATGACCGAATGGTATTCAAAAGACGTTTTTTGCATTTCAATTATTGGTAGTTGCAATTGAACGCACGCACTGAAACGTTCAGTTTGGTGTCAACGGGAAAACGCATTGACAGCTTCGCATACAATCTAACGCAAACGTTCAGCATGGAGAATGGCAACCGTGAAAAGGAATGTGCAAAAACGAGACGGACTGCTCTGTCAGTCCGAGACTTGCGACAACTATCATATCATGGCTCACCGTCCGTCCGTCCGTTTATGTATGAAATCAAATTAGCCGAACTATCAAACATTTACTACTGAAAGCAACATTTTACACAAACGCACACAAATGTTCAATCGAAACTAAGAATAGATGTGTGTCGTCGCTAGGCTATTTTCATGAAATATGATTGGATTCAATTTTAGTGCTCAAAACCAAAATATATTCAATCATTTCCAGAAATTTTGGTTCTTTGAATGGGAATTTCGAAGAAAAATTAAATCCCCTCCTTCAGAAACACACACGAAATAAAAGTCCATAATGACATCGCCAGCGATCGCATGCCTTTTGTACGTTTTCGTCTGGGGCGAAACAGCTATCCGTCTCACTTTCGCCCAATACCATTGCACGAACTTCCAAGATTTTTCATTCATGGCGTCCATTTTATCGTTTTCAATGAGACAACGACAGTGGCAGCGACGACGGTGAAAAAAATGTATTGTCGTTTAACGCATCAATGTGAAATGGGTTAGAAGAAGAAGTTTGTGTAACATTTATGTGTAGTGTTCATTTTAAACTTAAAAAAAAGTTATTCCCATTTGAAATAAGCGTAATTTTTTTTAGTAAATACAACAATTGAATTTGTGGCTGATAATTTTTTTTTCGAGAAAAAGAACAAAATTGGATTGTAAGCGATACATAAGTGCAGAACTCAGCGAATTTTTTTTCTTCTTTATTCGAACGCTTGCCATATGTACTGTTGTTGCACGAAAAAGCGAATAGTTCAATGCGACACACATTCTATACAGTCTCTATGTGAAACATGAGTCAGGTAATGAAAAGTCGATTTTTCACATTTGAATCGGCATTTTTTCGGGGAAATTTTTACATTTTTGGAAAACTCAATAAATTTTCGATCGATTAACAGTTTTTGGGCCGTTGGGTGTGGCCATTTTCTCATGAAATTTTGCTGTGGAAAATTGAGTAAATGTACGCGATTCCCATTCAATGTGCTCAAAATTTTGTGTATCACAATACATGGTGTTTTGGTCTGATATCAAGATAATATTTACATTGTTTACCCCAAAGATTGGTGGTTGATTTTTTCGATTTTCCGATAGTGTTCCATGTATTTTTTGGCTGCAATACGTACTTTGAACCATGCCATGTACAAAAAATACGATTTTCAACGATTCGATCGGGGACCCTTTTTTGCAATTTTCAACCAAAACAAATGCCTTTAAAATGATCATTTTACGACAATTTGTCGTTATTCCAGCGGTTTAAACGGAATTTTCGGTATTTTTTACAATTTTCCACGATTTCATCACGTCGACATTCTCATTTAAAGGTTACGTAATCATCTTTTACGCAGTTAAATCAAATTTTTCATTGTGATTACGGCGGATCGATGACAAAATTTATAGTTTGTTTTGGCGCCTTTTTTGGATTTTTGCAGCCAATAACCTTTGCAAATCGATTGTTTCTATGCAGTTTTATCATTTTTGAACATTTTTCTCCAATATTTTGGTCAAGATACAGAAATAAACACGTTTTAGAGCCTTTTAAGGGACTTTTCTAGTAAAAATCGATCGATTTTTAGATAATTTCAATGGGTTTTTAGCAGTTTTCCGGCTTTTTACTCCTTTTTGTTTACTTTTTAAACTTGTCCTTGATATTTCAATGCTCATCGGGTGTCGATTTTCCGAGCCAATTCCGATCGGAACAAAATGTTTTTTTCACCATTTAAACCACTGTTTTCAGCTGGATTCATTCAATTTCATTGTATTTTGGTCCACAGGATCTTGAAGAAAGTTTCGAGTCCAATAGAGATGGCAGCAACAGTGATGGTTCTTCATCCGGTAGCGACAGGTAATTCAGTGAATCAATTTTACAAGTGATGATCTGCCAGTGGATTGTGTTTTATTGATGGGCATTTTTTGTGTTTGTGTATGACATAGTGATTCCGATGGATCGTCGTCTTCATCGAGCAGCGGCTCATCAAGCTCGTCAAATTCAAGTAATGCATCACGACAAAGTCACCAGTCAAACAGTGCAAATGTATCAAAAACGGTAGCCAATAATTCAAGTGGAGGATCAACGTTGAATCAGTCAAAAGGTTCAACAAATCATTCGTCGTCGGAGAAATCGGCTTCCGATGGATCACAATCCAGCTCAGATGATAGCTCCGACAATGAAAATGCCGAACAAAATAACTCAAATAACGCAAGTAGTGCAAATTCCGATTCAAATGACTCGGACAACGCTGAAAATGAATTGAACCAAGAGCCGGAATCGAAGAGTAGCGACGATGACGATGAAAGTTATCAAGAAACAAAACGAACGCCACGGCCGAGAAAGGCGACACAGCCACCCAAACGTACGGCAGCAAATAATCGACGAAAGAAAAAGTATGTCCCTTTTTGTTGTGCAAATTGAAATCAATCATGATTTATTTAATTGGAATTGTGTTTGTGTGTTTTTCCATTTCAATTTGTGTCTGATCGCAGATGGGATGAAACATCGGATGAGGACAGTGCCTCAATGGAGCCAAGTAATAGCGAAGATGAACGATATAGTGACCAAAATCGTAGACCACGCAGGCAAGCTGCAGTTGCAACAAAAAAACAACAAGCCAAACGAAACGCAGCCAGAAGGAAAAACTATTCCTCAGGCGATGACAGTGATTCCGATGACGAACAAAAAAGGTGCGTTCATTTAGTTTTTTGTTAATTGAATAAACGAAGTGGCTAGTGTCTGATGGTGTCTGAGGTCAAATGTGTTTAGTGAATGGTTGGCAGTAGTGAAGTGGATCGAATGTGTGCAGTAATCAAATTTTGTATGTTTATCCAACATAAACATTAGGTCTGCGACTCGTCGTACGGCAGCTGCAGTTAGTTATAAAGAGGCTAGTGAAGACGAAAAAACCGATTCGGAAGACTTGATTGATGTGGACTATGATGAACCATCAGTATTAGCGAACCAAGACGAATCGGACAAAAGTGAGACGATCGAACGTGTGATTCAACGGCGAATCGGCAAACGAGGAGATACAGGTAACAAGACAACGATCTATGCAATGGAAGATCAGAATGGTGTGAGTTCGGATACACAAAACGACACCAAGTCAATGGCATCGACAAAACATGGCAATGACACCGAAGTACAGTATTTAATCAAGTGGAAGGGTTGGTCATACATCCATTGCACGTGGGAATCCGAAGAAACAATACGGGAACAAAAAGTCAAAGGCATTAAAAAGCTGGAGAACTACATCAAAAAGGAGCGTGACATTGAATATTGGCGAAAGTATGCGAATGTTGAGGACATCGATTATTACGAATGCCAATTGGAACTGCAGCAGGATTTATTGAAATCCTACAACAATGTTGAACGAATCATTGCCGAGTTACAAAAGCCGGACGGTGCATTAGATTATTTGTGCAAATGGGAAAGTTTACCGTATGCCGAAGCAACGTGGGAAGACTCTGAACTTGTGCTACTCCATTGGCCCGAGAAGATTCAAGATTTTACACGGCGCGAACAATCGGTTCAAACGCCATCCCGCCAATCCCGTGCCATCAAGTATCGTCCAAAGTTTCATCAGCTCAAAGAGCAACCGGAGTACATGGGCGAGGATAGAGGACTCAAGCTACGTGACTACCAAATGGATGGTCTGAATTGGTTAATCTTAACATGGTGCAAAGAGAATTCTGTGATCTTAGCCGATGAAATGGGTCTGGGAAAGGTAAATACCACTTGAGTGATTAATTTTTTCATTGAAATTGTACTAAATTGTCTTTTTCACCTCATTTCAGACCATCCAAACCATATGTTTTTTAAATTATTTGTTCAAATCGCAATCACTGTACGGACCATTTTTGTGTGTTGTGCCGTTGAGTACGATGACCGCATGGCAGCGTGAGTTTGCCATTTGGGCGCCAGAAATGAACATCATCACATATTTGGGCGATGTTCAATCACGTGAAATTATCCGGCAATATGAATGGTGCTTCGCAAATACGAATCGACTGAAATTCAACGCGATTCTCACCACTTATGAAATTTTGCTAAAAGACAAAGCATTTTTGGGATGCGTCAGTTGGGCCGCCTTACTTGTTGATGAGGCGCATCGTTTGAAAAACGATGATTCGCTTCTGTACAAAGCACTGTACGAATTTGATACAAACCATCGGCTTTTGATCACCGGTACACCGCTACAGAATTCGCTGAAAGAGCTGTGGGCTCTATTGCATTTCATTATGCCAGCCAAATTTACCAATTGGGAAGAATTTGAAACAATACACGAGAATGCAGCCGAAAAAGGATATGCACGATTGCACAAGCAATTGGAGCCGTATATTTTGCGGCGTGTAAAAAAGGACGTCGAGAAAAGTCTTCCGGCTAAAGTGGAGCAAATCTTGCGCGTGGAAATGACATCGATACAAAAACAATATTACAAATGGATTCTGACGAAGAATTTCAATGCACTGCGAAAGGGTTCAAAGGGTTCGACGAGCACATTCTTGAATATTATCATCGAATTGAAGAAATGCTGTAATCATGCGTCGCTGATACGACAACATGAATTAGAGCAAACGTACCAGCACAGTGATGCTCTTCAAATGCTTCTCAAGGGCTCTGGAAAACTAGTGCTGCTCGATAAATTGTTGTGTCGACTACGGGAAACTGGTCATCGTGTACTCGTACGTATTGTTTTTTTTTGTTGTTGTTGATTGTTTACTAATTCCCTCTTTAGCGTTTAAATAAAAATTTAACAAACCATCCATTTTCACTGCAGATTTTCAGTCAAATGGTTCGAATGTTGGACATTCTGGCGGAATATTTGCAAAAGCGGCATTTCACATTTCAACGACTGGACGGCAGCATTAAAGGAGAGATTCGAAAGCAAGCATTGGATCACTTTAATGCTGAAGGCTCTCAGGACTTTTGCTTTTTGCTGTCGACACGTGCTGGAGGCTTGGGCATTAATTTAGCTACTGCCGACACCGTTATTATCTTTGATTCCGATTGGAATCCACAGAATGACTTACAAGCTCAAGCAAGAGCACATCGTATCGGCCAAAAGAATCAAGTGAACATTTATCGATTAGTTACTGCACGTAGTGTTGAAGAGGATATTGTTGAGCGTGCCAAGCAAAAGATGGTTCTCGATCATTTAGTTATTCAACGAATGGACACAACGGGTCGAACAGTTTTGGATAAGAATAGTTCGTCAACATCGACACCATTCAATAAGGATGATTTATCGGCAATTTTAAAGTTTGGCGCTGAGGAATTGTTCAAAGATGAAGCTGAGGGCGATGGAGACGATTTGATATGTGATATTGATGAGATTCTACGACGGGCTGAGACACGTGATGAGGCACCAACAATGGTTGGCGATGAACTCCTTTCTGCATTTAAAGTTGCATCGTTTGCTGCATTTGACGAAGATGCCGAAGAATCGGTTGTTAGTCCATCAACCAAATCTGCGTATAATAAATTGAGTAGGGGAAACGATGCAATCAACGAAGGTATGTATCTGATGGTAGATGGCAGATGGCAGAGAGAGTAATAGATAACAAATTTAACTGCGCATATAAATGTAGTGCAAAGATTGAAACTGTTGACAATTGAATGTGGAGAATGAATTAAATTTCACAGATTTGTAATCTAATATTTACTATCAAAGTATGCTGCTCTTTTACTATGAAATGACATAGTAACAAATGTCAAAACTACATTTTTGTGCGTAGTGTTAACCTATTGAAATCGTACTAATTTTTTTTTACTTTTAATTCGGAATTTATAACCATGGTTTATTGTTGCTACACAGGAGAGACGTCACAAGACTGGGATGAAATTATACCCGACCATTTCCGCAGAAAGGTCGAAGAAGAAGCGCGCAACAAAGAAATGGAAGACTTGTATCTACCACCCAGAAATCGAAAAACCTTACAACAAATCAACCAGCAGGCCGATGAAAGTGGCGAAAAACGGGGCAAAAAACGGAAGAAGCGAAAAAGCGAGGATGACAGTGAGAATGAAAGTGCCGCAGGAAGTGACGAGGATCGACCGAAAAAACGTGGACGACCATCGCTCAAAGAGAAGTTCTGCAATTTCACTGATGCTGAACTGCGCAAGTTTATCAAGAGTTACAAAAAGTTTCCGGTGCCACTGAAGAGACTCGATGCGATTGCATTAGACGCTGAACTACAGGAAAAACCATTGACCGACTTAAAAAAGATCGGTGAAATGTTACGGGATCGTTGTGTCAAATTTTTGGCCGAGCTCAAAGATCTGCCGCCACAAGATAAAAAAGCGGCCAAAGCTGAAGCCGAAGCCGACGGCGAGGGTGGTAAAAAGAAAGGCGTTCGTGCTGGATTTTCTATAAAATTCGGTGGTGTTTCATTTAATGCAAAAACACTGATGGCATGTGAAGAAGAGCTGGCACCGTTGGATGAGGTCATACCAAGTAATCCGACGGAGCGGGCTAAATGGCTGTTTGACATTAAAACCAGACCGGCCAATTTCGATGTAGAATGGTCAGCCGAAGATGACTCAAGACTGTTACGTGGCATCTACCAATATGGTATTGGATCGTGGGAGGCAATGAAAATGGATCCATCGCTGAATCTCTCTGAAAAAATATTAGCCAATGACAGTAATAAGAAACCGCAAGGAAAACATCTACAATCACGCGCTGAATACTTACTCAAGATCATTCGAAAGAATTTGGAACTAACGAAAGGAATGGGCAAAGGTAAGGGTAAGAAGCCACGCAAACCGAAAGAACCGAAACCGGCCAAATCCAAAGATATTATTGAGCACGATGCTGTTTCATCGGCCGATGACGAGAAAAAGTCAAAGAAAGAACCGAAGAAGGAGCCACATGCACCAGTCGTTGCTGCCGTCGCCCATGAGAACAACAATTCTAATGATCGTACAATACAACCACCAGCACAGCCACACAATCATCACCATCACCATCATCATCATCATCAGCAGCCTTCTCAAAGTATACCCAACAGCCACGATGAAGTCAGCAATGGTTCAACTACCAAGGAAACTGCCAAAAATTCAACAAAAAAATCGAAAGCAAATAAGGAAAAGAAAAATAAAACGAAAACTGAAGGTCCGATGCATTTCACTGCTAACAATGAGCCGGCTCGGCTGGACGTGCTTGGCGGTCTGGATCCATCGGTGTTCAACGAATGCAAAGAGAAAATGCGACCCGTCAAGAAGGCGTTGAAAGCGCTCGACAATCCCGACCAAACTCTCAGCAATGCCGATCAAGTGAATCACACAAGGGCTTGCTTGGTTAGCATTGGCAAACAAATTGAATTATGTCTTGCAGAGTACAAAGAACAAGAGAAAATCAAAGAGTGGCGAAGTAATTTGTGGCACTTTGTTTCGAAATTCACCGAATTCGATGCAAAGAAACTGTTTAAATTGTACAGACACGCCATTAAAAAGGAGGATGAGGGTGATGGTAAGTCATCAGCAACGTCATCGCCGGTTAAAAATGCAAAAGATTCAGCGAAAGAATCAAAAGGTGGCCAAGAACATAAGGATAAATCAGGGCATAATTCAGACGAAAAGCAACTGCGCAAGGAAAAGAAGAGAATGCAACGCGAGAAAGAGCGCAGAGAACGGGATGAACACAACAACCGTTATCGGCAAGATGACACGAGTAATAGTCTGGAAAATGGCACCAGTTCACACAAAGATGAAGCGAGCAAACGAAGGCTTGAGGAAGGTGAACTCGAAGAACCGCCATCGAGACCATACAAAAGGCAACACACGGACAACAGGTACAATTCAGTGGAAGTTTACTTTAAATTTTCAAGAGAAAAAAAATAACATTTTCATTATATGCAGAACTGGTCGACCGGGCAAAGAAGATCGAAGCCGATGGGAATCAAATGACCATGAGCACGGTCGTGTTCGACACAATTCTGGTTCACATTCTCAGCCACCAGGCACACCTCATCTACCAAACACACCGCAACGCATGCCGCCCGGCTATGAAGGCCGAGATCGTGCAATGTACACTTCGGGTGGCGACTCAGAGCGATGGCGCGGTGACAGGTAAGAAGACAATCATTATTGTCATTAGAAAGTCTTTAATTCAACAGATGAACATCGAATGATAAATGTGATTTTCAGATACGGCGATCACAAACGCTTTGATGGCTACAATCGAGGAACACCACACGGTTACCACAACAGAGACAGAGATCATCGGGACAGAGATAGGGATCGAGAAAGAGGAGACCGAAGAGGCATTGATAACAGAAGGTAAGCTCAACACATGTGTGAATTTCAAACGGTCTGACTGTATTCAAATGACGATGCATTTCAATAGCAGATATCCGCCGATGGGATACCCAAGCAACCATTACATATCTCACAAAGCACCGTACTATCCTCCGGAAGGCGGTCCAAATCCTGCGAATAGTAGTGGCGGTGCTGCCTACCGATATCCACCTGGCAGCAGTTCGGATTGGGGACGAGAACGTGACTTTGATTATCGGCGTGATTATGATCGAAGGGCACCGCCGCCATCGGGCACTTCATAACAAAATGCAAACTCTGAATGAAGCTGAATGTTCGAATTAGGTCGAAAGAGAATCGGTCTCTTGTGTGATGTTTAAAATTATTCGAAGCAAAAAACACGATATTCCTTTCCTTTAACTTATTTGCTTAAGGTCATAAGAATAACAACAATAAAATCTCTTCGCGAAGAGATGACTGCAGTTACAGCAAACAAATAAAATGAACTTTTTTTATGCGTGAAAGGAAACAAATAAATGAAAATGAACGTAAATTCTATTTTTGGTTATATGATCAGCACAAACAATTTCAGCATACACTAGCAACAACAAAAAATGTATGCCTTCATACAGAAACCTAATTATTATTGTAATGCAAAAAAGAAATTTTGAGAGAAAAAGAGAAAATATATTATAATTTGTAAAAAAAAAAAAATTGATAGCAAATGGAAGAGAGAGCTCGTCGTTTTATTTTTTAATCAGCTGTGTGAGCAGTAATGCTATGACTATAAATATGATAGTCTAAATTCGAGAGAAATAATTTGTCGCAATTAAGCAATCATCAATCAAATTATATTTATTTAATACGATGATAGAAAACGATATTTTAATCAACAATGCAAACAAGAAGAAGACATAAAATGAGCATGTAATGAATCATCGAGTATATGAAAGCAAAAGTCGAATATTAATTGTTTTGTAATGATAAAACGCATGTAAGCCAATATTAAAAGAGAAAAAAAAATAATTCTGGAATCATTGAGCAACAAATTAATAATTCTGAACACATGTTAATAAGACCAGAATTCCGAAATAAAAATGAAATCTGTTTTGCAAACAGCTGAAACATTGAAACGTTGTATTTTTATTTTCATTGCAAAATGGCGGTCACACTCAGCGAGACTGTCAATCGAAATTGATTCAGCCATTGGTTGAATTTAACCAAACGTATCTACGTAAGTACGGAGTAATACTTTTACTTACCCATTAAAATTTGAATAGCCTGCGGCCAAAGTAATGATCAAATGAAACAAACGTGCGTGTTCGGTATCCATATTACTAATGTATCATATAAATATTTTTTTTTATTTTTCTCCGTTTAATCTTAATTTATAATTTGGTTGCCTTTACTTTATTTTAAATATAATTTTCATCATAGCATTTGTTCTCTCTGTGTGTGTTCTCTCTATCGTACGGTTGTGTAGTAAATAGTTTTAAAATTGATCAAGGGTTTTTGTTCTGCTTGATTTGATGTTAAATGTTCTAATTTAAATCGCATTTTTCTGTCGCAGACATTTTCATTGATGCGGTTTGTTTTTGTCATTGGTGATTCTAATATTCATTCCAATTTCAAGGTAGATAATAAATGGAATTTTTTTTTTCGTCTAAGAGTAGTGCTTCTGATGCAGTAATTTATTTTTCTCGTGTTGTTGCTTTGGTTTAAATTTCGTCAATTTTACGCATAACTTATTTAGTTTCGGTAACATGAATAGTGGTGAGATTAAGTCGTATAATTGCAGCGAATCGAATATTATGGATCGGAAAGAATGGTTTACAAAAACCAGGATAAATTTATACAAAAATAAAATGGGAATGAAATTGCTTCAATTCCGTATAATGATTGTGTAAGTGTGTAATAAATAGCCTTTGCGAATCGACTAAAAAAAATTGGAATCTAATGTGTGTGTGTGTGTTTTTCAAATTTTGAAGAAGATATCATTTATCAAAAGATTTCAATAATATAATCATAGAACTACGAACAGGTTGTGTTTGTTTGGTAATTTTTCGTTCAAAAATGTGTGATCATGCTACAAAGTCCCAACATTAATAACTTGATCAAAGTTAATCAAGAAGGAAAAACATATCCTAACATATTATCTGTATTTACATAAAATCTATGTATAAAAACTCATTTTTTTTTTGGTTTTATTTTCATTTCTTTTTCATTGCATCATTTGGTTTTTTCTTCTTAAAACACAACCGATATACGTTAATATTTCTGTTTCATTTTTTTAAACATGATTATTTTGATTCGTCGTATATAATTAGGTTATTGATTAATTTTTTCTTCTTTTAATTTGATAAATTGTTGTTTAACTTTGGTGAACGTCCAATTCCATGAGCAAATATACTCATTCTGGGAACTAGAGAAAAACCATAGAAACTATTGAGAGCTGCTTGTGAAAGTTGCCAAAAATCAAAATCGAATTGTGTGAAATCAGCTATGCTCAAATGGTGGAAAATCACCGGAGAAGAAAAAGAAAGGACATTTTTTGGATTTCTGTATTCTGAGCGGTAGTCAACCGGTTTTCTTTACATATATAATAATTGGGGGAATTGTTGATTTTCATTTACTCCTTCTGCTCGATATGGGGCGCTAAACGAAAACACATTAAACGCGTATCATTTAATTTAAGTCCTCTCTTTAGTACGGTGCTCACATTGAAAACGATTTGTCACGTAAACTCTTCTAGTTTTATAATATCTAACATAGATAAATTGCAATTACATACGCCATTTTGGTTGTTTTTTTCTCCTTTAACCTCATGTTTTATTTCACTTAATAACCCTGTAATATTTGGAAACGGAAAACACATACTAACAGTTTTGTCTCGATTTAATTTGTCTTTTGTTAAAAATGAAATTTGGTGCATTTTTCTTTTGAATCACCATTAGAAACCATATGTGTTTACCATGGCGTTTTCATTGTTATCATTAATTTAATATCTAATAATTCAATAGAGCAGTTTTTATTGGGTTTATTTTTAAACACAGTTTCTACCCTTGTTTTTTTTTCAAGCATAAACACATTAAGTCCCTTTCCACGAGTAGTTTTTCGTTTGGATAAAAAGTTTCAAAACAAAATGAATTGGATCGAATCACACAAATCATGGGTTGGACCCATTCAACGGTTATTAGTTTTAAATGCATTTAATCTATTGATTTCGATTTGCATTTTCATTAAAATTTACACGAGTTCAAGGGAAACCATTTGGAAAAACGTTCTCTGCTCATTTTTCTCAGTTGCACGTGAATTACGAGGAATTCACCTTGAATTTTTATTCATTATTTTGGCTTATCTGGTTGGTTTTGGCATTAAAAAATTCTGGACAAATTAAAAAACAAACAGTCATACACCTACACGCTTATTAATATTAGAGTTTATATGTGGGTTCAATCAAAATCTTACAAAAAATCGTCAAAGCATCAATCTCATCATTGTTGGGTAAAAAAAAAGGATTTTACCAAGATTTACACAATAACAACCGTAATTTTTTCTTTGTTTTATTTTATTTTTTTGTTCAATTGCGTTGTAGCAAAATGCATGTGTTGAATGTGACTTGCAAGCATAAGATTCCGATATATTTGTTGTTTTTTTTTAAATATTCTGGTTTTGTAGGTAGATTCTTCAAGGATTTAGGCTGTGTGATTCGGCTATGTGTTTCGTGTTAATAAATTTCGCCATTTGATAAAGTGCCGTTTTGTGACTTGTTTTTAATCTATTAAAAATGTTTCTTTGTTGTTGTTGTTGTTGTTGTTGTATATTTTTGTTCGAAAATCGCAATTGCTGTGGGTTTGTTTTTTTATTTGGTGTAAACGATATTTGCGGTACGGTACTACGTATGTAGATATATATACATATATGTATGAAGCTGAGCTCCTAATCAACGTCTGGTACAAAAGAGATTATGGTGAGAAAATGAGAACCAATGCTCTTGCTGTCTAATAAATTTCATTTGACATTCACTCTTGAGGTGTCGGACACTTTGATTCGTTCGTGCTAGTAATTTATGTTTTGTTTAAATTACGGAATCGATTTCGAATACAAAGATGGAAATATACTATCTATTTTCAATGTGGAACAACTTACATTGACATGGAAAGCATCTTAAATTGAGCAGGGCTCGGTAAGTGAGATTTCAAAAAATGCATTTTGGCTGACCATCGATATAAGTCAAATTAAAAAGCAAAGAAAAATAAATTGGACGAAACTCCCTTCACTTCAAGGACACATTCTTTTTCACAATTTCGAAAATAATTCATTTCTTCTTATCATAGAAATATCTATTTTTGGTTAGCTTAACATAAATTTATAGCCATTTAAAATTTAAATTTAAGGAATAAATAATTCGTGTGCATTTGGCGCATTCAATATAACAATTGTCCATAACAAGAAGAAACTCTTTTTATTCCAAATATTCAAAACCGATTTTGGATAATATTTTAACCAAATCAATTTCTTAATAAATAAAATGCAGAATTTTGCTTGGGTTCTAATTTTGATTGATGATCAAACGATGAAGTGTACGAAATATAGCCGTAAAATGCGTTTATTGGCATAGCAAAATTAATGATTGTAAAATTTCGAATTGGATCCACCAAAATAGATGTCGAATAGCAAAAGAGCTATGTTGCGATGGTCAGCCTGGAATAGTTAGAGAAATTTTCACCTTTTTTTCTCGAAGAAAAATGTTGACACACAATTTTCTTTTCCAAATAAACAAAGTTACTTTTCCATGGTAAACATTTCAATCATTTCAATGGACAAAGATCTTAAATTTACGGTTTTTCATACATCAAAGATTAGGTTTGATAGAAACCCGACGCGATTAGGCTATGTAAATGTCGACCAAAACCAATAAAATTCACTCTCAATTCAGCATTTGTGGCAAATCGATTTCTCTCTGTCAATTTTAAATTCGTCATGTGTTCTCCAACAATTTGTGTTGCACATTAAATTTGTTCATCAATTAATTTGGCTAGATAAAGTTAGGTAATTTGTTGTTGTCTTAATTTTTGTATCTTAATGCGATGCTAATTTTCTGTTTTTTTTTCCTCTTTTTTTTTTCTTAAAAAAGACTTAATTCTCCTCCTCATCTCTGAATCTGAAAAATGGAGAAAAAAAAAACAATATGATTCAAGATTGTTTTTGGTCCACTATCGTATCATTATTGTATCTTGTCATTCAACGAACACTTACAGATACGTAGACCAATAAACGAGGTTGAACAGGGCGAAAACGAGTGGGAATGTTATTCGCGATATAACGTCGATTCTTTTCGATCTAGAACATTGTCTATTATAAGTTTTTGTATATTTTTTTTTTCGAGGGAGGTAGATCAGGAGGGGACATTTGATTTGCGTGAATGTAATTTATGGAGAGTGGATGTGGTATTGTGTGTTGTGTATGTGGATGTGTATTTGTTTGTGTGTATGTGTGTTTGTTTATTTTTTCATATGTGGAAATCGAAAAAAAAGAAAGAATTTTGATTAGCTCGTTTGTGTTAGCGGTATTTAGTTAGTTTCACAACATCAAGGCACGCAATTCATTTCCAATCAATTTACAATAGTTCGATTTGTTTTGGTAAATTTTAGAAAAAATAGATAATTCTTCGCAAACTATTCGGTTCATTCATAGGTCAAATACGATTTCAAACATTTCGCAATAGTGGAATTTATTGTGCATAATAAGTAAAGTGTAAAAATGTGCATTGTTTTCTCGTTTTTTCCCGTTCCCATGTTCGGTTATAAAAAGAAACTTGAACGTTTGTTGACTTTATTTATGAGGTCGAAGTAAGAAAATATACGCAACACGAATTTGCATTCCATCTTAATGCCAATTGAAAAAAAAACTCCGTTGCTATGCATTTAAAATCCTTTTACAACTTCAGCATATTAATGGCGCCTACGAATGAAAATATCATCTTGAATTTCATCCAATTACCGGATATATTCGAGTACTTGTCGGCCAGCCAAGCGTCTCGGCTAAATTTGGAAATTATAATTCCATCGTGATTGAAAGGTGAATGTAATGCATGTCATCTTGATGTTTTTCATTACATCCACTTAACGATGCTTAATAGAATTATCGTAATTGCCGTATTCCGTGGCATTTGTAATATTCAATTTCGAGCATTTTTTCAACTAAGAAAATTTTGGGAGAAAAAAAGAATTGAAATTCTCTTTTCTTCGTCTTAACTTTCATTGAAATTACTGGTGCTTCAAATCACACGATTCCTTCGTGATGGCTTCTGATGTGGCACATTTTTACACTTTTTAGTCAATAAATGTTTAATTTTTTTTTGTTCAAATTTACTTTGGAAAAAAAATTCAACAAACAACCAACGGAAGAAAAATACGGTACCATTTTGATTAAATTTGCATTCATTTGAATTAGGTTCGAGTTTTATTCGAGGGTATTTCAAATCGTATACGCAAAAACGAACGCACAAATAAGATTCAATCCAATAAATGTTCAATCGCAAACAAATTTTACAATATCGATATGAAACTAGCTCAAAGCCAAGCCACAAGAGCTCTGGAAAAGAAACTAGTGCTCACGAAAAAAACAAAAGAAAAAAAAAATGAAACATAATCCGATGCAATCAGTTGACATTTCAATTTTCTACCATTTCGCACAGCCAATTTTAATGGTTTCGTTCAACTAAAACGTAACAGCGTCAGACGATTGCATCGATGTGAATTCAACGAAACAATATAAAATAAAGTAACTAAATCAGCCAGAACAAATGCTTCAACAGAAAATCGGCTTCGAATGAACAAAATAAACAGATAAAGAAGAGAGAAAAATAAAGGAAATTGTCAATTGCTAAGTGGAAAAAAAATCAGGTCTGAATCAATGTTTACTTGGAATTCGTGTAAAATTGTATATATTCATTGAGAGATGCAAATATGAGCATGAGCGAATTCAAATGTTTAAGAAATAAGTAGCTTATAATAAATATACAGAAACAGTGACAGTTGTATACAACTCAAGAGAAAAAAAAAACAGTTTGAATATATCAAATAGTGGGAAATGCAAACAAAACCAATGAAATGCGCTTATCATTCAATTGATGTTAGAATATGGAAATTACCTTGTGGGAAACTTCGTTGTGTGGCAATCGGGAAAGAAGAGAGAGATTTTGATTAGTTCTTCTGCGTTAACGGTATATTTAGTCAGTTGGACAACAATAAGGCACTTACGTCATGTGATTGTTTGATTTCACAAAATTTCAGAAACAACAAGGATGCACATACCTTGGAGAGCCATGTACGGCAACAGTTTGGTCTTTTCGGTGGTGCCATATGCACCTCACATTGTCGTAATTTTTCCAACGCTAACGGATCGCCCGGATGACGAACCAATGGTTTCTGTCGGCGAAAAAAAAAATGGGCCAAAGATATAAATATCAATATTGTAATTCAGTGATTTAATTTTACCGAGCGAATTACCATTGCAAAGGTTGCATTACTATCGGTGTCGAGCAGATCGGAGGCTGCATCCATGCTGGCCTGTTCAAGTTCACGACGTTTTTTCTTCATATTCTCACGATGCATATCTGCCGCATGATCTAACGATAAAACAGGGCGTTCGTCGGGAAAAGAATAACCGACAAATGAAAACAAAGCGAAAGAGAAACACATAAAAAATCAACGGATTCATCAAAGAATACACTATCTCTGATCAAAATTCCAAATTACCCGAACGGGATGCATAATTGACTAGAGCAAATTCGAGCAATGCTCCAAACACGAACGTCAGACAAACACCTGTCCAAACATCAATGGCCTTGGTGTACGATACCGGTGGCAACGACGCATTTATACCGGACGTTTGTGTTGCCATTGTCAAAAGTGTGGTTACACCTTGAAGAGAGAGAAAATGGTTGCATGGATTGTTTTTGAGTTAATGTTTTGCGAGTTCATCAAATGACTTACCTAATGAAACGCGAGCTGGTACGGCTCCTTGATCCAACCAGAATGAAACCCATGATACGATAACCAACATGCAGCATGGAATATAGATTTGAATCAAATAGTACGAGAATTCGCGTTTGAATAAGAGGTCGACTTTCAAGCAGCTATATTCGCCTAGAATTCGAACAGACATTTATGTTACATGAAGACTGCTATCGAATTAAAACCAGAGGTTGGTTGCACATAAATTTATTCATATAAATTTCAAATATCAAATAAAATTATCCGATATTTTTCATGCGTCGTGTTGTTCTAACGCATTTGCCAGCTATTTATCGCTGGAATGAGATTTTCGTTTTGTTCATTTACCGTTCTTTGTCAACAATTCTGCCACTGTATCACTACATAGTATATATAGTCCATAAGAAATGTGCAGAGACGAAAATGTTCGCCATTTGATTTTACATTGCCAATACATTAGTTATGGAGATTTTTATTTTGTTTATTTTTTGTTGTTTGTAAACAAATCTGCCTATCTTTTTGCATTGCCACTGT